TGTCACTGGTCACGCTGTGGCTGGAAAATATTTTATCAGATGTCAGAAGTTTTGGATCTCAGCAAGCTTACTTTCTTCACTGCCAAGTTTCCATGATAATGCTATGCACTATGAACCAGCAGTAAGACGCTCAGTCGTTTACCAGTCGGTCATCGCCATAATGTGGATTGTATGGTTGATTTATTGTGTTGCTGACATGACAAGTCTTTCAGAATGGAGATTGTCTTAAAGGCCCTCCCTGCTATGCTTAACCTGGCTGCCCACATCTTTTAGTGACATATGGTTTACGTCTTCACAGTGGCATAGGAACATGCATTCATTTCTAGTGTAGTTCTCATATCGTTTGGATGGCCTTTTGGTGCCAAGTTCTTCTGGAAGTCTTTGAGTCGTGCAAATTCCTGAAGGTTGTCCATTTCCCCTACTTGTTACATTGACACAATTTTCTCACCTGATTCAAGTTGTGATGGATATACCTCCACATCATATGATGTCAACAACATAATAATTTCACTATAACACAATTCCTTCCATGTGAGAGTTAAAACTTTTCATTTAAACCTTTTACTTGAAAACAATAAAATGATGTGAGCTTGCAGAGGTGTTTTGCAGTGAAACCGTCAAGGATAAAAATGTCTATAGTGAAGAAGGTTACATCATTACAACATTTTTTTATTATAAAGTGCACGTGTACAGTTTATTCTGGATTTAGTACAAAATGGGCTTCACAAGCCTCATTCAATAGCAAATTTGATATTGCTTATATTATTTTATACTTAAGCCTGTGTGAAGACATCAGCATTAAGGGCAAAAGGGAAATCCCAGCATGACTACAGGCTAAAATTAGATCTTGATAAGAACATGCCTTTACTCATCAAAAAACATGACGCAGTGCAAGACTACAAAGCACCAGCCTGTGTTCTTTGTAATTGCATAATCATTTAATTACACAGAAACATACTTTGCTCTCTTGAAATAACTTGAAAAAGAGCAGAGATTCTTTGTTTGAAAAGGCAAAAACAATATGGCTTCGAGCAACAAATGCTTATCTGCTTTGTGCCATTGATTTAGGCTTGCAGCAACTAGAAGACATTGTGTATTCATAGTTCCCATTCAGAAAGTCTTCAGATAAATCTTCAGTGCACAAATGTGAGGATGTTTTCTTAAAATGGTCTTTCTTTCACTAAAACACTGAACTTGAGACATCCCTACTGAACAAGCAGCTGAAGCTTACACTGTCTAAGACAGTCAAAAACATGTAATAAGAGGCCAGTTTCAAAAGCTGAAATTGTAAACATATTCAACCATTTCAAATTTCCAACAACTTTTTGACTTCAAAGACTTCAATGACTTCAAAGACTGTTTTGCAAAAAGTGAAGAACTAAAATTGCTGATCGTTAATTGTAATTAATTACTTTTCTTTTAAAATGCACATAATCTTTATCATGAGCTTATATTCAATAAAGTAAACACATTGATTTCTGAATAACACAATGCTCTGCATTTAGGGAAACAGGAAAATGGAAAATACCTGCATAAAATCCTCCTAGCCAATCAGGACAAAAGGTGACCTAGAAAACAGAATATTTTCTAGTTCTGATAGAATATTCCCTATTTTGTTGAAATAGTATTGTCAAGAAGACAACTTCTTACAGTCAATGACATATTCCAATCAACTAATTTAACATGGAGAAATATGGAACCATTATAATGTACTAGACCATCCAGGATGGAATTCAATGGGATGTCTGCAGCCATTCTAAGATGCCCCTGGGGCAAGTTGTACAAACACAAAATAACAATTTTTGCCATAATGGAACATTCAGTTCCCATGGTTACGCTGTAGCAATCACCTCCATGGTTTAAGATCAACATATTACCTTGTTGTAAGACTTGAATATTGATTTGCATTGGAATTTCACAAAACATTGCTGCAAGAAAAATATCAAGTTATCAACAAGATATCTGGCACCTTGACAACACATGGCTTTAGTCAGGTCAACACACAAAGTAGGACTTCCTACGATTAGCAATTGGTGTTGAAGAGTTGAATTCTTCAACAATAAGTGATTGCTGTTCAACACAATACAAATAGCGATTGCTGTTGAAGAGCTGAAAACATTTCTTTCTGCTTCAACTCTGTTGCTGAGTTGATATTCTCAGCCTTTAATTAACATCAAATACATACTTATATATCAAATAAGAAATATGTCCAGAAAGGTCGCTTTGTTCCAGAATTATGAAAAGTGTTCAGACATTACCACCAAATCAGTGACATCAGCCACTCTGAAAACAGTAGTCCACTGGTAGACATGAGGTATCAATTTATATTATTTCATGGCTTGTATCATTTTATTTCATTGCATCCAGTCAAATACAGAAGAGAAATTGTTAATGGTTGACCTTCTCTTGTCAAATAGGCTGCCACATGGATGATGATGGGTTAATGATTGACCTTCTATTGTCATCACATAGAAGTTGAAGATTAATTATTGACCTTCTATTGTCATCACATAGAAGATAAAGTGTTAATGATTGACCTTCTATTGTCATCACATAGAAGTTGAAGATTAATGATTGACCTTCTATTGTCATCACATAGAAGTTGAAGATTAGTGATTGACCTTCTATTGTCATCACATAGAAGATAAAGGGTTAGTGGTTGACCTTCTATTGTCATCACATAGAAGTTGAAGATTAGTGATTGACCTTCTATTGTCATCACATAGAAGATAAAGGGTTAGTGGTTGACCTTCTATTGTCATCACATAGAAGTTGAAGATTAGTGATTGACCTTCTATTGTCATCACATAGAAGATAAAGGGTTAGTGGTTGACCTTCTATTGTCATCACATAGAAGTTGAAGATTAATGATTGACCTTCTATTGTCATCACACAGAAGATAGCTGATATCTCTATAAATTCTCCCAAGGAGGTTGTTCAGTTGCCATGGAAACAGAAATAATGCCACATAACTTTGATAAACACTAACCATGACGATTACAGTCTGTCATATACCAATTTTGATAAACACTAACCATGAGTTATTAGATTCTGTAAGTATCAGTACATGTCCGGTAAAGCCACCCTATCATAAAGTAGGCCTCCAGTACAGATATCGTCCACACTACCCCGACTTCCAATACACACCTGACCTCTATTCTGTGCACATCAGAATCCAACACACACCAGCTCAGTCTACACATACACGGCAGATTTACATACCAGACCTCCATTCCATATACACCACACCCATGAAGATCCAGGTTAGAATTGATCTTCAGTAACCCATGCTTGTCGTAAGAGGCTTAATTTAAACGGATCAGTGGTCAGGCTTGCTGACTTGGTGCACACATGTCATCATATCCCAATTGCATAGATTGATGCTCATGCTGTTGATCACTGGATTGTCTGGTCCAGGCCGTTTTCTTGTTGAATTATTTAAATAAACAACATAATTAACACAACACCACAGTGTGATATACAAATTTGCTGGAATAATGCTGAATGGGTTATTTCCACCCCTGATAATGCTGAATGAAGCGTAAAACAACAAATAAACAAACCAACCATATAAACCAAAATCTAACCCACCCCAGGTAAGTCTACACATACATCTGACCTCCAATACCCACCATTGACACATCAGACTATCCAAACACACAAGAATCACCTGTTACCTTTGAGGTTTCACACCTAAACATGATGTTGACACATAACAGTCAAACTGCAAGAAATTTGACTTTTTCAAATTCAAAGCATGGCATTTATGATACATATATCCATTCTCTGTCGACAAAGGTTTCAAGTAAAGGGCTGATTGTGGTTCCGGTAAATAATGGTGAGTTTGAGTGACGTGACATTTCCACAAGATTTCAACCAAATAAATGCAAACAGTTTTGAATGAATTGCAAAACAAAACTAGGGAAAGCAGAAAAAGCAGTTTCAATTATGAAAATATCACAATATATTGATCAGCAACTGTAACGAATACATAATAATTAGTCAATCAAACACTAACGAGACATTTCATAATGGACATCCTTTAGTTTTCTACAGTACTCTTTGTAGTCTGATTGGAAAAAGCTTTGATTAAATATATCACATGGAAAACCTCATATCAATCATTTTCTCTCTCTTAAATTCCACTAGCAGTTGCAGTAATTTATAGAGGCATTACTTTCAATACATGTAGTACTAAAGAGAGACATGTAGTACTAAAGAGACTGAATACTTATACTGAAACAAACTCAGCTAAGCTCAATGCAGGAGGTAAAATTTGAGTACAAAAAAACAAAACTCTATATTCAGATTATAAAAATAACAACTGTTATAAAATCATATATATTAATCAAAGAAGTTACAGAACACCTAATTTGTGCTTTCATTTTTATTAAATGTTTTCAATTTAACTCATTTCAACTCAATTTACCACAGTTAATCTGCCATGCCATGAGAGGTACTTTCAGAATACCATAGTTATTCTGTCATGCCATCACAGGTAATTTCAGAATACTAAAGTTAGGCTGGGGCAAATACTTTCATATTACTAAAGTTATCTACTAATAGTAATATGAAAGAATTGGATGTTCTTCTAATTCTTGTAAGTAGTATATCATGGCAGTACTTTCATACCATACTTCAAGAAAAACATTCTACATTGAGTAAAAATACATAATTTATCAACAGAAATCACAGGAAACAATTTCTAAAAAACCCATTCAGCCCCAATACAAAATCAATAGTAAAACTTAGAAATAAAGACTGTGACAATAAAACCTGATCTGAAAATCAATGTATTGATTGCCTTATCAAGAAGACATACTCAGTGAAGTTGACAAAGTAAATGAGAACAAGGCAGTAAATACAGCCAATTATTACACTTTCCTATCTATTTAACACTGAAGGACCTGGACTAGGGGTGAAATATACATGATATTGACCACCTCTTAGCATAATGTTACATAATGCATGACCAGGAATTACGAGCAATAACAACCTACCTGGTTTGATACAATCTCTTCACACTGTGTCCTCTGTCTGGCACTCTCACATTGCTCGCCATTGTTTGTCCTTGATTGTGACATCCTGTATTCCACTTGTGACTTCCCAGCAACGATAGTTACACTGCATCCATTGGTGATTCCTCCTGCAATTTTCATGATTTTACCAAAATGACATCAGCTGCCGAACTCGGAACAAGTGTGGATCCAAAATACTTCCCTCTTTGAGAAACGTGGATTCTACCAAGTTTGAGATGGAACTCAGGCGTTTTAGTGTTAACGTATAAATGATGAGTCCACCATCAGTTTATTATTAAACCTGGAGACAATAATCCTGTAATTATTTCACAAAACGTTGTATGGCTAGACATGGTTCCTGCTAAGCACTCGTGCCAGTCTCTCCAACAGATCTCCAGGAATTTACTTGGTTTCCAAGCAACATAGAAAATTCATGTGGCATTGAAGTGAATGTCAAAAATGTCAGTGATGAGGGACACAGAGACATCAGCAATTAGTTACATACATGACCAGGTAAATGGTGTCTGTCACCTTCCAGGATGCTCCAACACACGCCGGTCTCATGCATGGATCAATATAACATTAGACTGGGGTTGGGGACTGGAGTGGGGGTGGGGACTGGAGAGGGGGTGGGGTGTCTATCACCTCCTGGGATGCTCCAAGACACACTGGTCTCATGCATGGATCAATATAAGATAAGACTGGGGTTGGGGACTGGAGTGGGGGTGGGGACTGGAGTGGGGGTGTCTATCACCTCCTGGGATGCTCCAACACACGCTGGTCTCATGCATAAATCAATATAACATTAGCCTGGGGGTGGGGACTGGAGTGGGGGGTTGGGTGTCAGTCACCTCCTGGGATGCTCCAACACACTGGTCTCATGCATGGATCAATATAACATTATATGTGGGTGGGGACTGTGAGTGGGGTGGGGTTTCTGTCAACATACAGTGGTTTTATGAATGGATCAATATAACATTACACTGGGATGGGGACATAAGTCGGGGGGAGGGATGTCTGTCACCTCCCAGGATGCTCCAAGACACACTGGTCTCATACATGTATCTATATAACATTAGAATGGGGGTGGGGACTGGAAAAGGGGTGGAGACTGGAGAGGGGGTGGGCAGTCTGTCACCTCCTGAGATGCTCGAAGACACACTGGTCTCATGCATGGATCAATATAACATTAGAATGGGGGTGGGGACTGGAGAAGGGGTGGAGACTGGAGAAGGGGAGGGATGTCTGTCACCTCCTGGGATGATTCAAGACACACAGGTCTCATGCATGGATCTATATAACATTAGAATGGGGGTGGGGACTGGAGAAGGGGTGGATACTGGAGTGGGGGTGGGATGTCTGTCACCTCCTGGGATGATCCAAGACACACAGGTCTCATGCGTGGATCAATATAACATTAGAATGGGGGTGGGGACTGGAGAAGGGATGGAGACTGGAGAGGGGGTGGGATATCTGTCACCTCCTGGGACAGGAGTGGGGGTGAAAACATAAGTTGGGGTGGGGTGTCTATCACCTAGCCATAGTGCAATGTTGTCTTAACAAGACCTTTTTGGGTAGACTCAATGAGAGTGAAACCCAGGGATGATCCAATACACATTGGCCTTATGCATGGATTAACACAAACAGTAGATGGAGGTGGGTGGGTGGTTTCTATCACCTGGGATGGATCAATACACACAGTGTATAGGTAGTCGATGCATCTAATACCTCCTTTGATGATCCAACTCATACATGGATCAATACAGACAGTAGATGAGAGTTGGGGGTGTCCACCACTTCTTGATTAAGCTGCAAGACATCCTGGTGTCATGCATGGACCAGTATAGTCAGTAGATGGCTGTGGTTGGTGGATCATCATGGGGAAGGGAAGGGGAGTAGTATTACATCAGTTAGCCCCACCCCAACCTCAAAAGCTCACCTACTACTATTATTTATATATAAATGAAATTTGAAAAGTTGTTACGAATCAATTTTCTTCACCTAGAACAAACATAAAGCATAAAAGGAAGACACACCCTTCCTTGATTCTAAATTAACGTATAAATTTATCAAGGATTTCCCATTACATTTGAATTAACAGGTGACTTGTACATTCTGTATCATGAACCGGAAGTCATTTTAAAACTTAACATAAACAGCAAGTGATATTGTTGAAAGTAACTAAATGGCAAAGACATATAATGTTTACAATGTAAACTGATCTATGCAACCAAATATTCAAAAGTATAAATTATAAATTCATGTAGCCTATGGTAAACATCAACAAGCATGCTTCTCCCTCACCTAGACCCATGCCCACACCCTCACTCACCCCAGATCTACACCCTCACCCAAACTCATCTACTCTCACACTTACACCCTCACCAAGGCCTAAAAAAAATGTTGTGGTTTCAATTACCCGACCGACCCTTGAATTCTGGTGCCAACCCTATCTTTTTTAGGCGGTATGAATAAAATATGCTTTTGTATTCCTTTATTTTTTTTCTGGCATAGATGGACATTGGTCTACCTACCTACCCTAAATTTTAAAGAGGAGCAATCGGAACAACAACATTTTTTTATTTGGCCCAATCCTCACGAACACCTAACACCCATACTCACACCCAACACCCAACACCCCCACCCACAACCCCTGCCGAAGCCCATCCCCTCTCCTACATCCTCACTCACAGATAATGACCCGTTATGAAATATATGTCTCCTATATCATAAATAACCGAACAAATATCATAATCCTCAGACAATCAATATGAACACTGCTTTTAGCAAGATAAGCCACCAGGAGCAGCTATACAAGTATCAAAGCTGGTATCAGTTTTCCTGTGATCACACATTAAACACGAGGACAGCAGCTGAGACGCCTCTGTAGTCAAACTAAGCTAGTCCTATCTGAACAATAAACAGAGACACTATATTTATAACATATATGTTTGCACTCATACATGCACAGTTGTGATGCATTGGATGACAAGGTCTCCAATAAACAGACATTAAGGCCAAAAAAAATATCCGTTTCCGGTAACCCGAACGACCCTATCCTAAGACACACCCCTAAATCTTTTTTAACCAAGTCAAAATCATGACTGGAGTGCATTCCAACTCATCATTTTCATCCAAATTAAGTATGATATTGTCATGTTTTTCAGTGTACGTAGGGCTAAAATGGATTGCATTGAATTGGCATAATGGGCTCTCACTGATCAAAACCTGCAAATAAATAACATAAATAATGATTTGATATAGAAATCTTTCAATGTTTCATCACAAGGCATTGTCACTACATGATAGGGTACTCTTGAAGACCTTCTCAGGTGCCAACCTGGTGCTACTAAGAAAAAAAAAGTAAAAAAATAAAAGAAGATAAAACCAACCCACCTACCTTATTTTTAAAAAGCATGTAATAGGAAATGGACATATATTTTTGGGGGGCCAAAGGAACCTGCAGAACATTTAGCCTCTTGGCCTGGAGATTTCAGCTTCGGAATAAGTCCCCAGCACCAAATGTTTATCAATAACACTGATTTATAAAAACACAATTTGGTTGAATGTATGTGCTCATACCAGGGTACACAAGCAGCAGGGATTATGTAAAGGACAAAAACCAACTTGAAGATCTTGACTGAGAATGAATACACAGTGCCATTAAAAAAGCGATCAAGTGTTCTATTTGGGATTACACTTTCTCAGTAAAGTATAGAATCCTGTACTTTTTGTTAGGTTGACTCCCACTGGGGATTCGACCCAACATTCTCAGTCAGGCACCTTATTGCCAGCACTACTGAAGGTAAGCCTGGAGGGGAGGGAAACTGGGGGGAATCAAAATGGCCTTTGCTGGCAACTTGGTTTAAATTGGTCAAGGGAATGCAAGTCACTTCTGTAATTAAAGAAGACCACCTGTATCTACAATGACATCTATCAGACATTCAGGACCATGTGATTCTTATCTTCCGTAGTTACTACTGAAGTTGTCTCATCTCCATGAGGGGTGGTGGGGTAGCCTAGTGGTTAAAGCGTTCACTCGTCACACCGAAGACCCGGGTTCAAGTCCCTACATGGGTACAATGTGTGGAGTCCATTTCTGGTGTCCCCCGCCGTTATATTGTTGTATATTGCTAAAAGCTTGTAAATCATACTCACTCAATCTCTCCCTGAATGTTGATGCTGATAGCCAGTTTTCCTAAAGAGCAATATGTCATCTACAAGAACCAGGTTGTAAATTGTTTATACCATATTATGCCATATATTACTGAATGATGATTATGGGGACATAGCAAATCATGTGTAAGTGAAGAATATGTACACATTCAAATGGAAAATTGGTCTAAATTTTGTTCTTACGTAGCCAAGATATTACCTCTTTTGTTATACATGCACATATTGACATAGCGTTCGAAATACCTGCCTGCCCGACTGCCCAGCACATCAGGGACTGCCAGATTCTCAAAATCCCCTGCCTGACGGTCGGGTTAAACTATAGACCACTGGCAGAAATAACCCATTGCCCGACGTCCGAGTCCAGTGTTTTTTTTCTGTCGGGCAAGCAAATTCGTATATCACACTGTACCGGCGTCCAGTTGACTTTCCAATGTTAATTATGTTGTTTATTTAAAAAATTCAACAAGAACAATTTCAGGGCAAGTGATTTCACATGTGCCACTGTACCGGAGTACACTAGCAATTTTAAAGTTATTTCCACTCCTGTAGACATGTATATGAAGATATTTTGTGGGCAGGTAAGTTTTGGTCAGGGCTGGCAAGTTTTACATCTAACCAGCCCTGTGGTCTGGCGGAAGTTTTTGTGAGTTTCATGCCCTGTAATTTGGGAACATTCAAACGCATCTCCTGCAGTCTTGGGATAAGAAAAATTCATGTAAAATGTTTCAGGAGCACTTTACAATTAGATAAAATATGAAATATAATAGCTCAAAATTGTAAATTAATTCAGTGTTTCCTTAACAGAGGGCATTTATTAAATAAGCTCCTATAAAATTTACATTCAGAACATTTCTACCTGAAACAAAAACCTTTGTCTCCACAAAGCTGTTGGTATACACAGATCCCAAAATTACCGAAACAAAAATTTTGGCAGACCATTTGATACAACATTTGATAATGGGAAACAGTTACAGAAAGATGACACATAAATTTACCTTGGCAATGTGCTGACTGTGGCCCTGTATAGAAAATGTCTAGCAGTGGATTAGAAGGTCCCTGGTTTGAATCCCAACAATACACAGTCCTAATAGTCATCTGTTTAGCTTGAATGGAATTTAAACCAGGCATCTAGCCTTTGTTACAGAAGACATCACCTTGTTCATAGATTGAAATAGCTCCAATGTCATACAGCTTCTTCAAGTGCAAGGACCTTTGGAGCAGATTGTGAATTGTTTCCTTGTCCAATTAGCAAAAGGTTAAGTTAATCACCACGTTTACAAGATAGGATGTCACCTGCTCTCTGATTCCAAGCCTTACCATCATGACTTGTCCATAACCAGCACTC